GCTGAGCTCCAATCACACATACTATATACACTGTCTGAATGCACTGAACAATCAAAACAGATGCATGTAATATACTATTGTAGCAGACTGCCATATACAGACATTGACAACTGGAATTTTTGCTTTTGTCTTTTAAAGGAGAGGAGACAGCTCTACCTGTTTATTCCAACAACATGCACTGCTCATTCGGTATAGTTTCCTCTTCTGGAAACTCTGAAGTGGCCTTGTTCGGGCTGACGTGCTCATAGTTTCAGATGGAGATCTCAGCCTTGTCCTGTCTTTTCTTCTTTTTTTGATGTGTTGATGATCAAACAACTGGCTACTAGATGACATTTCCTCTCTGTTGTCTGAAGCTCTGAAATTCCATGAAAACACTGAAATCAGTCAAAAAGGTCAAGAATGCTCAATGTATAAAGGCAACCTCCCACAATTAGTAAGTAGATTTACCAACCAAAACATATTATACCCATAATTCTAGAGACACTCAAAATTAACACTTGAGTTTTAACATACTATTTCAAGAAATCACAACTTGTGGCATAGGTAATTCCTCACTGGTTTATTAACATTATGAATTTCTTTTTGCAACACTGTGAGGAATTCTATTGATCTTGTTCACATTTTCTTTTCTATTCCCAGACAAAACCTATTTTAAAACTGACTTAAGTTTGAGAGTTCATAACAGTTCCTGGAATTATACTTACTTTTAGAATAACTACAGCAGCTAAGTCATGCATTTTACCTTTAATGATGAGAACTCAATACCACAATTTATGACATTCTCCTATTTATCTACGTTCCACTGAAGTTAATGAAATTACACTGGCATAAATGAAGGAAGGCTCAGGTTCATTATCTAGTCTCACTGTAGCCTAGGTAGTTAAATTAATATAAATTATTTGGCAAATGTAACTAAACTACTATAAACTACTATGCTATTAGTTTATGTAAAGGGACTAATAAAACTGAGGCTAATTCAAAATAGAAGATATCAGCCTAATGTGACAAAGTGGGATATATTTCTATCAAAATTCTAAACTCAATTTTGTATCGTGTTCAATACATGTCTATACTTGCCTAAGGCAAGCCTACAGAATTGCATACTAGACAACAGCCCTTCCTAGGAAAAGTATTTGACATCGTGTTAAAAGACTATACTGAGAAGCTACCAGCAATCTGGAGCCACTAGATTTGATTGTATCTCAAAGGCTGTCTCACTCCCCCAAATGAATACACAGTGGCCCACAGAGGGGCAGGAGCATGGCCAAGGGAGGGAGGCTGAAGTCTTCCAGTAGAGCACATGGTAAGGAGACCAAAATTCTATTTTATTCTGAGGAGGAGGATTTCCAGAGAGGAGGAAGGGGGGATTCCACAGGCTGAACACAGATAAATAGTGAGCAAAAATTATCTTCAGATTTGCAGGGCGCCTTGCCACCAAGCCCAGCTCGGACTGCACTTCTGAAACTGGGCAGGCAGGGCTCTCTGGTCCAGCAATATTCATGGTCCTGCCAGACCACAGATGTTGCTGGACCAGAGAGCCCCAGATTTTAGAGGTTTGACCTGTACTCCTAGTGGGGCCAGAGTAGGGGGTATTGCCCATCTTTTTGTTGCTACTCAAGTGCTTCTAAGAATAGTCACTCTGGGTAAGAAATTCCACTGCTAAATCTATGTTCCTTGCTTTGTTCCCAGGTTGCCTGAAGGAGTTCAAATAGAAGTCCAGAGAGACCTCAGCCTAGGAGCAGCATGTAAGAATGGAAGGCTCTGAAGCACTGATTTTCGGGGTCTTGGGTAGCTGCACTGAAGAGTCCCATCTCGCACGAAAAGGCCCAGGAACAAGCTCTGAGCCTGAGAATGTGCCTTACTGAGAACTAGAAAGACAGACTCTGCCCAGACCAGTTGGTTTGGATGAGACTCAGAAATTAAGACCCCTCACAATAGGGCAGTGTTAATTTAGAGAGTTATTGGGCCAGGCTGTAACACTTATCTATCACATGTGAATTTCTCTAAATGTAATCATCATCTCCCTAAACTTGAACCACACACACCTTGCTTATAAGTCAACATTGGTTAGAATGCAGTATTTTAAAAAGGAACAAAAGCTATATTATAAGAAAGTAACTGAAAGTCAAAAATAGTACAAGCACTTTTATACACAATAGCAGAGCTGTCTGAAAGCAACTACATTTGTATTACCAAATTAGAACTGGTTTGCCTCATCAGACCAATTTCAATGCAGTATAAGACTCCAAAACATGCTCCACCTGGGTGGGAATGAATCAATAAAAGTGCACTTTACTTTTGTAGTATCCTGCTTTGTTTTGTTGCTGTAGCAACATCTGCCTGCAAAGTTAAAGGCTCACTACAAAAAGCATTCAAGTGTGCATTATTTTTACAACATCAAAGACCAGAAACAACAAAACACTGAATTGCCCGAGAAATGTCAGTAGATGAGCTATTCAGGGCCTGGTTTCATAATAGGCAATCTGTCTGTACCGACTGCTGTTATTTTTTATCTTGTTTGATAAAATCCACAAATCACAGATTTCTTATACAACTGTTAAGTGATAGGAGGCAATAAAACAATAAAAATGAGCTCATTACAACAACAACCATCGATCTTTTCTGACAACTAGCTCTAAGCTGCAAAACTGGGCCCTACAAAATAAGACTGTCTGCTAGGGATGTGAAAGCCAGGGATACAGAGAGGAAGAAGGTGGGGCACTACAGCCCAGCGATGGGCAGGAGGGGCCGCTGAAGCCTGGCTGGAGTGCCCACCCCTGTCTCTCATTCCCCCCTTTAATTAGTTAACTGGATAAACAATATGTTTAACTAGTTAGCCAATTAAATGGGATTTTCCATTCCTATTGTCTGCATAAGACATTTCATTTTATATATAGTATAAAAACTATAATATTAAAATGTACATTACACACACCTGTATGACTTGGTATGTATGATGGGGTTTTTTTGACATGAGTTACTGTGGCCTTTTTACTCATCAGTGATGAAGTCAAGGAGTTAAGTATATGCTACCAAGAGCTGTGGCTGTGCTTTCTGACAAATTCTTGGTACAACAAAACTAAAGATCTCAGAGCCAGTAGCACTGTTTGAGGCTCCAGCATATAGCATGGTTTCCCCGACATAGTCACCCAAATGGATTTCCCAACCCAGGTTTGAGGTATCCATTCTTATAAATGGAAATTCTGATGGCTGTCAAAATGAGACTCTACAGACTCTAAAGTCTATATGGTGCCACAGGACTTCTCGCTGTTTATAGAGACTGGAAGTTCACCACCACCAGATGTGGAATTCTTGGATATGCTATGGCACTCCTTGGGAGTGTATGTGTGCCAGTACTCCTTGGGGGAGCAGGGATTGCCCCTTCTGAAATTGATGCTTAGCTAGGACTGCAAAGTCCATATTCTCAGTAAGAGAAAGAGACTCACATATGTGCAAGAGGCCATAAGCCTAGAAAACTCAAAAGGTTATTTTCATACCATGAGGCTGCACCTTTACCAAAGCTATGGATTTTTGAATCTCCTTCCTCGTAAGAAAGCAGCAACACTGTAGTATTGAGAGCTGCTTATATGAAAGTTAGTTTCTATGTCTGAGTGGAGAGAAAGGATTAGGCAGAAAGAATTGGAAATTCTACCACAAGGTGAAGTAATTCTTGATTTAGTCTTAGATCAACTACAGGATCTGGTCTTAGTAACTATAGCATAATTAAATTTAACATCCTGGAAGGGAAGAAGGGGAGCAGGGAACATCAAAGAAACTCATTACCATAGCATTTAACTTCAAAAAGGGAAACTACAAAAAATTAGGAGACTGGTTAAATGGAAATTAAACAGAACAACCATAAGAAAAACCTGCAAGATGCATGGAAACTTTAAAAACACATTAGACACTCAAACTAAAAGGGACTGGGGCCGGGGAGCAGATATAGTCTCTGGCTCCCCGCCTCACCCTGGGCATGCGGTTCCCTCTGGTGCTGTGCACCCTTGGTGGTGGGAGGAGACTTGGCTTGCTCCCCCATCCTTAGGTCTTGATTGGCTTGGGAGCGGGAGAGTGGCAGGGCAGTCACCGGCCAGGTCAACCCGCTTGGCAGCCCGGATCTGGCCCACAGAGGCCCCTGTGCCCACCCTAGTACACACAGATAGAAGATTACCTAACTATGTTTCTTTCTTGCTTACAAAGTTCATCACAGTTTTAAGGATGTTTTGCGCCCCTTGTTTGATTTTTCATTGGTAATATCTCAATCATTTCTTCATGCATAGCATTTCCACAACTATATCGTCCCAGAATACACAACTGATCAACGTCACATATGTTACTTGTCTTGTTCAAAGCAAACAAAAAATAAGTAGCCCTACTCAAATTTTACATTTGTTCCTTGTTGATTTTCACAGCTCTGTCATGAACTGTTTTTGCCGATAAAGGTATGTCTTGAATTTTCTGTAAGATTTTTGTCCTTGTTGTAAAACGCATCAAATAGTTCTTGACCAATTGTTAGCATGCATCTCCTCACATAACCCCTGTCAGTGAAAGACTTCCCCTCTTGAATAATGCTGTATGAGCCCGCAAAAATTGCGGCCTTTAAGTTCTCACCTCTTTTTGACCATGCTAACAGGATATATTGGGTCCAATGTGCATTTTTCACGGCAGCTCCTCATAGGCTTTTTTTCAGTGCATCAACCTTGGGGTATTTTGTAGTAAATGCTGCATGTTTTGTCATGGACTTATTTTTAAAAAATAATTAAAACAGTCTCTCAGTACAAATGAGACAGTGTGGAGAGACCCAGACCTATGCACAAACGTATACAAGTCTGTCCACTCCTTTTGAAAATTTCAGTACTCACCATTCTCACTGTTGGGGGTCACATGATAATGGAAAGATTTCTAGACCAACCAAATACAGTAAACTTCCGATAATCCAGCACCTTTAGGACCCAGGGGGTGCCGGATTATCAGATATGCCGGACTATCAGAAGGGGGGACTATGAGGGGTCTGGAGTGGGGTGGGAGGGGATGCCACCCCAGACCCCTCATAGCTCCCCCTTACGATAGTCCGGCTCTGCCCCAGGCGTCCCTGATTCAGCCGCTGCTGGTCAGTTTCAGCAGTGGCT